AAAAACTTTTATGTGGCCAGCAAAACTAAATATTTACTATCTGGCTAAATTTTGGGAAAATATGCTATCCCTGCTCTATAGTAAGCCCTCAATAAATAGTAGCTCATGTAATTATTAATGTTAGTATTATTTTCTAATTATTGATTTTTTTCATATACTTGGAATTTGAGAATAGGAACAGCTAACCTAGAGTAACAGAATGGTGTGAGGTAAACACAGTGAAATTAGGTTAATCAATGTGGAGGAGGAAAGAGATGTGATCCTGATATTAATGAATACTTAGTGATTGTGATACATGTAAATGCAACCGTGATCTCATTCAACAAATATTAGATGCCTATTGTGGGCCAGTGTATTTTTTTTTACTTAATTTTTATTAAATCATAACTGTATACATTTGTGGGGTACAATATGATGATTTAATGATACACAATGTGGAATGCTTAAATCAAACTAACATAACCATCACCTTATTTTTGTGGTAAGACATTTATAATATACTCTTAGCTGTTTTGAAATGTTCCCTTGTATTGTGTACATTAGGTGAAATCCAGCCAAACACTGGATCTAGCCTCCACTCACCCTCACTTTCCCCTCCCCTCTTCCTTCTTTCTTTCTGGACTATCTTTGTGTTTTATCATTCACATAAATGTGTGTTTATATATTGGTTTCATAATAATATTGAATACATGGGATACTTTTTTCCTCATTCTTGAGATACTTTACTAAGAAGAATATGTTCCATCTCCATCCAGGTAAACATAAAAGATTTAAAGTCTCCCTCTTTCTATGGCTGCATAGTATTCCATGGCCTACATATACCACAATTTGTTTATCTATTCAGGGTAGATGGGCATTTAGACTGCTTCCATGACTTGGCTATTGTGAATTAGGCTGCAATAAACATTCTGGTACAAAGGTCTTAAAATGATTTTTGTTCAGGGCCAGTGTTATTTTGGTTTCAGGTACTCAGCAATCAAAACAGATGTGGTCCCGGCCATTGTGGCATTTTCAAACTAATGAAATAGGAGAGATGTTTAATAAATATGGAATGATAAAGAGGAAGAAGATTAAGTTGTACAAGTCATCTGAGAAGAATGAGAAGTGCTGAAAGAGGCCTCAGAATCACTAGTCTTGGGCCCATCTCTCCAGTGTGATAAATATGTGTCAGGGAATAACCACATAATTCCCACCCACTCCATAGTTATGGATGCCATCCTGATGCTCTTGTATCCTGTTCTGGTTTGACAACTCACAGTTCTGGGCTCCACATCTGTGGTGAATGGATTAGGCCAGGATTCTTGAATACCTGTTGTTGTAGGCATCTGAAAAGTTGGATGTGCATAAGCAGAATAGGCAGAAGAAATGTATTCAGGATGTGCTGATTGACTTCCTGGCTATTAAGGAGGCATAGTACCTGTGGTTGAAACTCAAAGGATGAACTTTATTTTTGTGGAGTGTTCTAATCTGGATATTATGTATTAGTCCCTTCAGCCCTAACCCAAAATGTAAATGGCTACCTTAAAAATGACATACATGAACTAGATCACCACCATAGGTAGCTTTGCGTCATAACCTTAACCCCATTTGGAGTTCAGATAGAACAGTAGTTCTCAACTATGGGCAATTTTTCTTCCCAAGGGTTCCTTGCCAACGTCTAGAGATATGTTTCCAGGAGTGCTACTGGCAGTGAAAACTGCTCATCCTCCAAAGGACAACAAGGAAGGACAATTCCCACACAAGGAATTGTCCAATTCAAAATGTTCACAGTTGGCTTGGCGCCTGTGGCTCAAGCGGCTAAGGCGCCAGCCACATACACCTAAGGTGGCGGGTTCAAATCCCCAGCCCGGGCCCGCCAAACAACAATGATGGCTGCAACCAAAAAATGGCCAGGCGTTGTGGCAGGTGCCTGTAGTCCCAGCTACTTGGGAGGCTGAGGCAGGAGACTCGCTTGAGCCCAGGAGTTGGAGGTTGCTGTGAGCGTGATGCCATGGCACTCTACCTAGGGGGATAGCTTGAGGCTCCGTCTCAAAAAAAAAAACCCAAAATGTTCAGTTTAAGAACTGTGAACTGAGATATAACTTTCCCTATTGGGTATATATATATATATAGAGAGAGAGAGAGAGAGAGTTTCACTATGTTGCCCTTGGTAGAGCGCTGTGTCATCACAGCTCACAGCAACCTCAAACTCTTGGGCTTAAGTGATTCTCTTGCCTCATCCTCCTGAGTAGCTGGGACTACAGGCGCCCACCACAACCCCCAGCTATTTTTTTGTTGTGGTTGCTACTGTTTGGCAGGCCTGGGCTGGGTTCAAACCTGCCAGCCCCGGTGCCCCAGCCAGCACCCTGGCCGCTGAGTGCCAAGGTATTGTGCAAATATTGTACTGGAAGCTACTTCTCCGAGATTTAGAGCGCCTTCTTTAAAATTGTTTTGGTGTTGGGCGGCAGGGTAGCTCACACCTGTAATCCTACCATTCTGGGAGGCCGAGGCAGGTGCATTGCTTGAGCTCACCAGTTACAGACTAGTCTGAGCAAGAGCGAGACTTAACGAAAAAGTCTTTACTAATAGAAAAACTGAGGCAAGAGGATCTCTTGAGCCCTAGAGTTGAACGTTGTTGTGAGCTATGATGAAGCCATGGCACTCTACCTACCCAGGACAACAGCTTCAGGCTCTGTCCCGCCGCCCTCCCAAACTGTTTTTGTTGTTGCCCACTTCCAAAATGGTTACGAAGATTTGCCCTGATCCAAAAAGGCAGCCGGGGAGTCAGTAGCCGGAATGGGAATGGTTTAGTCCAGGTCCTTGTTGTCCCCCCCTGGCTGTGAGGCCAATGGAAGCGGCCCGGTTGTGGACCCAACCACCTAAGGTGGCCGGAGCAGGGGGAAAGAAGCTGGTGACAGGTAGACCGAGTTCTCCACGTCGAGATTCTTGGCCACCAGAAAGAGCTAAAGCTCTGCTTTGTGGGTTTAAATGAGTTTCCCGGAGTAAGTCCGAGGTGGGTGGGGTGGGGAGGATTCCGGGCTGGGTGCCTGGAGTTCGCCTCCTCCCGCCGCGGCGTGTGCTGGTTCGCCCCGCGCACTTCCCTGTTTGGGGCAGTTCGGTCAGCAAAAGTCGGTTCGCGAGCTGTCAGCGCGGGCGGGAGAGCGGCGGGGCGCGGGGTGGGCGCGGCCGTCCCGGAGCCGGCCCGCGACCCCGGACTTTCCGCGCGCCCCGCTCCCTGCCCGCTAGGCCGTCCGGCCGCGTACCGCGCCCCTCGCTCGCTCACCTCGTTCTCTCGCTCGCTGGCCGCCGTGCGGGCCGGGCGGGCGCCGGAGACCCCGCCGGGGCCGAGGTTTCTGGCGGGCGGGAGGCGAGGGCCCGGCTGCGGCCTCCTCGAAATGTCCTCCGTCTGCGACGCCAGCAGCCACTTCCCCCTGCACCTCCTGGTGTGGAACAACGACTACCGGCAGCTGGAGAAGGAGCTGCGGGGGCAGGTGAGGGGCGGGGCGGAGGTCGGTCCCCAGCGGGGACGGGGCAGTGGGGGATCATTTCGCCTTCTTGAGCCCATTTCCAGTCCTCTGCCACCAGAGTCCCCAGGCCCCTTCACCTCTGGAGTCGTGGGACAGTAACGATAATAGGACATGTATCGAGTGCTTACTGTACCCCGGACTTTTCCTACATCATCCGTCTTAACCTTTCTAGTAACGCCCGGGGGTAGGTACTGTTAATATTCCACTTGACAGAGAAGGAAACTGAGCCCGGAGAGATTGTGTGCCTTGTGCGAGGACCGGCCAGCTAATAAATACCAAGTGTGGCTTTTAACTGAGGCCACCTGGCTCCAGAGTGCATCGTTGGGCTCAGTGACTTAAGGACAGCCCTCACTCCTCGTTGTAAGGAAGGGCTTGGTTGGTTTTGGAGTCCAGGTTCTAACTGGTCCTTTGACCTTGAGCAAGTCGGTTTCCTTCTCTGGACTGCAGTAACTTATCTGTAGAATGAGGATGTTTACTGATGTGGGTAAAACCAGTACTTTCACTGCTTTAATAGGTCTGCGGTGAGGTTCAGGAATCAGCATTTTAAGAAACTCCTCAGTCTGATAAATAGTAAAGTTTGAGAATCACGCATCCTCCATCTCCTTAAAATCCCTTCCTGTTTTCAAGTGCTGTGGTTCTTTTTCTTTAATTTATTGCCATCTGTTTAAAGCAGTCTTCTCAGTTGGAAGTAATTCCCCGCCCCCATTTGGCAATGTATGGACAAGGGAGGAGTGGGTGCTACTGGGAGTGGGTAGAGGCCAGAGATGCTGGTCAACATTCTACAGTGCACAAAAAAAGCCTCCCACAATAAAGAATTATCTGGCCCCCAAAGTCAACAGTGTTTTGGTGGAGGAACCCTGCTTTGAAAGAATCCCAATAATTCTGGGTGGTATTGGTGCCCTCAGGTTACAGACTACCAAATTTAGGATGAGGATTTGTAAGTACCTCTGAAATCTGGTTTAATTGTTCCTGTTGGTTTCATTCATTGTATCCAGTGTGTTAAAGACCTGGTTTTTGAATGTCTCAAAATTAACCCTGTAATTCTCAAGATATTTTAGGCTGGCAGTGGTTCTCACCTATAATCCTAGCAGTCTAGGAGACTGAAGCAGGAGGATCCCTTGAGCTCTGGGAGCCTGAGGGCAACTACTTAAGAGTTAAGGAGATATGGTACATGCCCCCAGACTAAATGATTCACCATTAGGCATTCCAGTATACCTGATAATTTAATTCCTTTTCTATTACTAGACATGGCTCAGAGGAGATCCTCCATTTTACTTTTAGCTCTATCTCTAAGCTTCACCTGAGACACTTTGAAAATGACTAATTCTGGTTTTAATATGTCTACTGCTTTTTGTCTCTACACTTCAGTATTGTGGCTGCCCAGTTTGTGAAATGTTGAGAGAAAGTACAACAAAAGTCACATAATGAAAATACTATTTTTTATTTTATTTTTATTTATTTATTTTTTTGAGACAGAGTCTTAGTCGCCTTCAGTAGAGTGCTGTTGCGTCACAGCTCACAGCAACCTCAAACTCTTGGGCTGAAGCAATTCTCTTGCCTCAGCCTCCCAAGTAGCTGCACTACAGTTGCCCACCACAATGCCTGGCTATATTTTTGTTGTTGTTGTTGCAGTTGTCATTGCTTAGCTGTCTCCGGCCAGGTTTGAACCTGCCAGCCTTAGGGTATGTGACTGGAGCTGTAACCACTGTGCTATGGGCACCGAGCCATGAAAATGCTATTTAGTAGAGAATTTCATCATCATTAAACTATATGTTCTTTCAATATAGCGGCCACCTTTTATTTGTTAGAGGGGAATAAAGGAGTTTAAAAGTTTGACAAGACAAGAACAAAGAAAGTCTTGATATATAATCTAAAGTGTGGCATAGTTGAGTTATCTCTTTTTCCTGCAAGTTGTGATAGAAGTGTTCATGAGGAGTTCTTTGCACCATTTACCTTGAAACGTTAAGGACATTTGTGATTAGGGAAGTGTAATTTAGCAGCAGATTTTCCTAGAGTAAATTGGTCCTTCATGCCTTTGACTATCAGGAGGGTCAGGGAAGAATATTATACTTGCTAATTATTTGGTTTTATTTTATTAGTTATTACTTTGAAAAACAAACAGCTGAAGTGTATTCCTCAGGAAGGTCTTGACTGTGGAAACTTGGCATTCATGACCACATAATCCAAGTTCAGTCCCCAAACTTTGCTATTAAGGAGATACAGACAGGGATATCTTTCAAATGTGCAGTTGCTTGAAAGTAGTTTAATGCTTTACTGTCACTGTCTTGAAATTCTTTAGTATCTTTGAATAAGGGGCCCTTGCATTTGGGTTTTTTCACTGGGTCCTGCAGATTAGATAACTAGTTCAGGGTCAAGAAGGTGATAACTAATATCATTAAAATACAGGGCAGGAAATATTTTGTAGCTTTCACATTTACTGAGTTTCTTTGTTGATTATGAAATAGCCACCCACCTCTGTGGCACAGAGGCAGTTAGGTTTAATGCCAACAGTAATGCTGCTTAGCTTGTGAGCTAGGGCATGTCACTTACCTTAGCCGAATTGTTTCATCACTTGTACAAATGGGGAGAGTAGCACTGAAAGATTATTATGTTGCCAGGCGCTGTACTCAAGCCTTAAGTGTAGTCTTAGAGATTTGATGATGGATGGGTGGTTCTATGATGCCCATCTTGCAGATGAGGAGACTGATGTGAAGAGAGGGTCACTTGCAGTCATCGCAAGTGCCTGAGATAGGATTTCAATCCAGAAAGAAGTTGAAGTCTGTCCAAATCCTGTATTTTTTGGTTTTTTTTTGAGACAGAGTCTCACTTTGTTCCCCTAGGTGCTGTGGCGTCATAGCTCACAGCAACCTCAAACTCTTGGGGCTCAAGTGATTTCTCTTGCCTCAGCCTCCCAAGTAGCTGGGACTACAGGTGCCTGCCACAGTGCCTGGCTATTTATTTATTTATTTATTTGCAGTTTTTGGCCAGGGCCGTGTTTGAACCCACCACCTCCAGTATATGGGGCTGGTACCCTACTCCCTTAAGCCACCAGCGCCACCCTGCCTGGCTATTTTTTTAGAGACAAGGTCTTGCTTTGGCTCAGGCTGGTTTTGAACCCATGAGCTCAGGCAGTCCACCTGCCTTGGCCTCCTAAGTGCTGAGACTACAGGTGTAAGCCACTATGCCCTGCCATATCCTATATTCTTAACCCCTCCACTGTATGTCTTTCAGGAAAAATGCCTCCATTTCAGGTTTGTGGAGAATAAGGAAGATAATGGACCTGAATGTGCAGGCACATAAGTTAATGGGAGTAATGCCATTTACTAGTAGTTGCTGCTATTATTATTATAATCATCATTTATAAACCTGGGAATTGCACTTCTTTTACTCATGTTACATTTCTTCTGCAAGGAACATGTACTGGTTGCACAGTTAAGAACAAAAAATTGCTATCACCCCAACAATAATGCAGGCTGGATCCCTTCTTGTCTTCTTTGCCTATGAGTTTCTGCTGCCCATTCCTTCATTCCTCCTATCACACAAGTGTGACTCAAAGCATGCACACTGGTAGCTGTAAGGATTTTATTTCGCTCCAGGAACAGCAGCATACAAAGTCTCAAGTTTACCCAATGAAGAGGACTGAGTATGTGTGAGGCAGCCCAACCCTGTAGCCATGCTACCAGCCAGCATTTGTGTACCTTTGCCAGCCAGGAGATTGTTTCAAGCCTTCGTTTGCTTGGCAGAAATAAAGTGCCTCTTAACCCATCAGCTCTTTAATGTTCAGTGAAGCCTTGAAGTTGGTTGTTGAAATTGAAACTGTTTGTGTTCTGGTTATGTCATTTGTCACTTAGCTAAGAAAGGTCTGTTAAACTCCTTTGGCCTTCTTACTAACTCTGGGAAAATGACTGAACCCCTAAGGGGGTACTTGCAGAGGTGACTCAGTTCACTGTAGACAGGGTAGGGAAAGCCCTGTGACTGTGTGAGGCGGAAGGTGGCCGATGAGCCCTGACTGTAAAGCTCGCTCCCCTCCAGCCCCTGCCTGCCATAAGAGGTGAAAGGACAGCATCTAGGCATGAGGAAGAAGACCTTCCAGGCAGCAGTAAGCCTAGAGCCTGAGGCCCACCTTGTGGTTCTCACAACCTGGGGCAGGCCAGGTAAGGCCACTGGGCATGTTTAAGTTGGTGCCCATTGGCTGGAGGCCAGTGATGAGCCAGGGCTGGGTGTGTCAGATGAAGATCCTAGAGCCTGCTCTCAGAGTTGGGGATATAGGCCCAGCATAGGAAACTGGTCTCTAGATACCTTTTCCTGCTTGACTTAGAGTGGTTATGGGGGCCACAGCTGCTGAAGACCAAGGCAGTCTAAGAGTGAAGAGGAATGGGAGGGTCTACTTTTTTGAGAGAAAAGGGAGTTAGCAGCCTTTTGCTAAAGGCCGCCCATCCCATTGAGATCTGTGATGGTTTGTGAAGCCCTTACCATGTGCTAGGTACTGAGGAGGTTGATAACTCAACTGAGACTTGTGAGGAATCTGGAGGTGGGGTGGGAATCTGTTGTCTGGTCTACAGCCTTCTCTCCAAGATGGTAAAGAAGGCTTTTGAGCAAAAAAAGTCAATGAGCTTCAGTTACCAAATAGGAAGTTGTCTTGGGGATACTCATAGTTAAAAGGGGTGGGTGTTTTAATTTTGATACAGCTCATGGGTAAAGAAACTTAAAGGAAGAACCTAAAGGATTAGCCTCAAAAACGAATTCTAGTTAAATTCTAAAAACCATACTCTCTGACCATTTGTTGAAGATCCAGAGCCCCACTGTTGAGTGTAATGAAATTTGAACAATCCCTTTTAGGAAGAAAGTGACAGCTTTTGTGAAACTACATGGCGTGGGTGTGTGAAAATGAGAGCTAACTCTTCTTAGCACTTACTGTGGTGTCAACCATCATGCTAAGTTAAGGCCTTTACCCTTGAAAGAAC